ATATATAAATTAAAATTTAAGAAGAAACGAACAAAGCAACCTAGTTATATGAAAAGAGCAGATTAAAACATTCCCAATTTTTGTAATTTTTGTTACTAATTTGATGTTAGGCTATATTAATAAATTGAGAAATATTCTCAATTTTTTACCACTTTATACTTATTTACATTATCAAAATTTGCCAAGGTAGTACTCGACATCTTGTAAGAAAAGAGAAATCACCACAAATTTTAATAATTGTAACAGTTGCATTGAATATTTTGAATGATCTTTCGACAGACAGGCTATTCGAATTGATAAATTTTTCACATATGATAAATTTTTCCCGATGTAATCAGAAAAAAAATTATTCGGTAGTGATAAAATGGCTTATTAGGTCTAAAGGATTCATAGGACATTTATTGTAATGTTGATCACAATGTTGTTCATATTCGGCCTCTATGATTTCATCCGGAAGATTTTCACTCATCGACATAGAAGGTCTACAACAAAGCAATGCGAATAAACATAATTTTTATATTATTTGTCGTATCATACTTAATATATGTGACAACACAAATATCTACTGATATGAGTATACTTTGAATAAATAAAAAAAAAAGGTTTATCGGATAAACTGATCTAAAACCAATTTCCTAAATTTTCAGCACTCCATTTTCTTATCCTTTATTCTTGTTATATGTTGTACATGTTATAACTTGCTAATTTTATTCTTATGTGATATAATTTAAATAATTATTCTTTAGGAATACTTACGTGAATATGACTTGAAGGATATCGCCAAGCACACCGTTTTTGTTTAAAGAGTATTTCTCAGCTTCGCAGATTATTTTTAGTAAACAATCTTGTCCAGGATAGCCCAGGCTACAAAATATAATTATGTAAATAAAATTACATGATTTTTTAGAATTTATAAAATTTATTTCAGAACTTGTAAAATTAATATATTTTGAAATTTTAAAGACTATGACATAATTGTATAAAAGGATAAAAAGTAATACTTAGTTATATTATGCTATTACCTGTCCATTTTGCTTGTGATCACCTTATACACTAATTGGCGATTGATACTTCGTTTTGTATAATAACTTCCTTCGTAAAAGTAAGTCGAATTGAATTCGGATGGTAATTCATAATTAGCTTCGAAATAAAATGATACCGCTATAGATTTGTCTGGAATATCTACAGGAATTCCCACGGCGAAAAATATCTATGAATCAGTTAAATATCTTCACACTAATATAATATGCCTATTAAAAAAATGGAAAAAATCATATAAATCAATTGAGTTTCAACTAAACCTCTATTCTTTAGAATATTAAATTAATATTAAATATCGATATATTAATTTATTTAAATACAATTCTGCAAAAGTAAATTGCAGTTAATATTTCTTATATTTCGTAATTTTTTTTGTAATAAATAATATACTCGTGATGGACAAAAAATTCGAGTAGAACGGAATTGCTGTCATGTCAAACATGTTGTTATTTTGATTTTTCTCGATTTCATTCGGCAGAATTTCGTTCACATTTCACGAACGTAACCTGCTTGAAATGCGAATGATTAATATTGAGTTAACAGACTGCCCGCATAGTCCGAGACGCATTTAGTAGATGAAAAATGAATGATTGATCCACCGTACCCCTGTATTGCTACCCTCGGGAAATCCGATAGATCGTATATGCCTCGATATACCATGTGTAATATTTTTCACTCCTGATACATGTGTTGACTTCATAAAGTACCACATCAGGAGAACCAGCACTGTAATATAATTTCTGAAATATTTCAAGACTCAATTTCATCACATATATTTTTTCAGTTTTCAGTTTTAAACAGTTTCGTATTTATTTTACAATTTTTAATATTTAGAAACAATACTGTTTTGTAAAAATGTTATAATTAAATTATCATTAATAATATCTCTTTTTTTCAACTATCATATAAATATTATTGATTTAATTTAATATTATTTTTCTCTATAATATTCATTTATTTCTCTTATTTATTTGAGTCCAATTTAAATAACTTATAATTATTTATATAGAAGATTTCTCTGTTTTTGATCAACGATGTAACCTGATCTTAATTACACGTATGTATTTATGTAATTTTTGTTTTGAAATCAGGGAAAACATTTGAAGAGAAAATACCGTGCGTAACTTAAATTTGTTTTGTAAAATAACATCGTAAAATAAATAATAGTTGCAATGTTTAGACACTGGAATGATATTTTCAGAGTTTTATCGAGAGCGTTTGCGATATCTTGGATATTGTTCATTCGGAATTCGTATGTGAGTTTCACAGGACGATCGATGTGTCGATATAAAAAAAAATGGAGGAACACACATCGGCGTCTGTTTATTCATTTCTTCATTTCGCGTGCTGTTTTGATTTCGCGGTTGCTTCATTGGTTTTCATGCGCATACAAATACCAGGCGATTTTGATCGTCCCACGCGCAATTGCGCAACAATTTTTTACTACCAAAGTGGAGTAAGAAAGGGAAAAATATATTTTTCCTATGATAAACGGCTCATAATATAGATATGTGTTATAGTGTTTTCGACTGAAGTGAGTTTAATTGATTCAAGTTCGAATTTAAGCTCGATTAAGAGAATAAAATATTAAATTATTAATAGGTTTATTTATTGTGAAACAATTTTTATAATTATGTTTTTGATGTCTTTTTTAAATATTAAGTATCTAACTGTTATAAATATAATCAGTTTGATTATAATATCAATATAATAACACAAAGTAGATCGTATGACGTAATTATCACTCTCGGGGCGATCACATACACTGCAGTTGAAAACGCTATTAGTTTTGTGTTCTTCTTTCTTCTTTCTCTTTGTTATGTATATTTTTTTATGATCACAATCTTAATTTTTAACAGCGTCGTTTGCAGAGAGAAAACTTGAAATACTTACTTGCTCATTTTTCTAACGTATAAACTGGGCACAAGTGAATTTCGCACAAGGCTTTTCCCGAGTAGCATTGGCGGATTGTATGCAGTTTAAATGTTTTAAGATCGAAATAAAATTGTTGCGAATTTATGCGAAATAAAAATTGTTGTTTGCGCAAGGTTAATAATTGCAGCCATTACTAGGATACAGTTTACTGTTTCTCGTCTCGTTATATACGCAGTTTGGTGCTAACGATGTTTAATTTTTTACGAATCTCACTTAACGCTATCAAAGATTTTTATTTTTTTCCAATTGTGTGATACGAATGTTTTTAATATTTACCGATGTTGACACACCTCAAATGATCCATTTTTATTTAAATGTTTTTTTTCAACTTATTAGTTTTATTTCATACTAATGGATCGTGTATACATGTTAATATTTCATTCACGCGAATATAATTATTTAAATTACCATGCAATACAAAACAGTTTGTGTTTGCTATGCTGTGCACTAGACAAATATTTTGATTATAGAATCTAGTAGTCTTACCAAAATATTGTCCTTGTTCCATATTATATAGCAAGATTGCATTTCAAAGCTATTTTAGTACCTGATGAAAACTTGATGAAAAATGTAGATTTATACATGATATTTCGTACCCGTATTTCACGTTTTTTTTTATCTTCATATTTTTCGTTTAATCTCTGTATCGATTTTTTTTAAATTTCAATATTAAATATTTGATAATTATGTTTTAAATCAAAATTAAGTTAAATCCAAAATTGATTCATAATTAATCAAAGAATATTTTCTTTTTTATACCTTATTATCAAAAGTTAAATTTATAAGAGACTTTTAATTTTAAATTTCATTTCATAATTTAAGAAATTAGTAATTGTAATTATTTTTTTTATTAAACTTGAAAAATTAATGCAAAAATACGAGCGTTCGCGACAAGTTTATAATCGTAAACTGAGACATATCGAACGCGGTATCGGCCAGCTTCAGTCGTTCAGATGGCGGAATGAGATTATGGTCCGCGGAATGCATTAATCCCGCGATCAGTATGCGTCTAGCACTAATTGAATTAATAATGGAATTGCAGGTCGGCTGTTTCTGCCTTGTTTGGTACATTCCTGATTCAATGGCGAAACTCGTAATTATTCCGCGGGACTTTACGTACCGGGCCGACCGCCGGACACGGGCCTGGATGCCGCAGAACAATGCTCGGGCACCACCTTTCGCCAGTAGTGGTCCCCAACTGGAATATATCCCGGCACGAAGTTTCGCACACTAAATACATTATTGATTAGCGCACCATGAATTTAGTGGTCTCCGCCGCGCCTTGCGGCTTGAGTACTCGGTGGCATTCGGTTGCAGCAGGGCAGCAGTCATTTTTGGGTCACGAAGTGCGCCTCCACCTGCATTGTGCATACGTGTACGTGCAACGGTGGTCGCGTACTTCGATTTTCAAGAATGTCACCCCCCGTCGTCTGAGCCCGTCGTCATTCTCTCCCACGTGACTTTCTGTTAAGTTTATCCCGGATTTGCATTTATAATCCGCGCACGGTTTTCCGATCGATATTTGTACCAGTACATTTGTCACAAATCATCACGCTTTCTCGAAGAGATATTGAAAAGAGGTAATTACAAAATTATGTGGCGAGTTTTATATTTTTAAGATCAATTTTTTTTCATTATTTCCCGCAAGATTTTCTCTCCATAATATATATCTTTTGTTATTTGTTTCAAAGGTGAAACAATATTATTTTTAAAATTGTCAGCCGAGCCGTCGTTTTCTCGTTTTATTTATCGTCGAGGAAAAATCTTCGCGGATGTTGCTCGACGTGGAATGAAGTTTAGCATTTACTCTTGTTATTTTTCTCCCGCGTGAAATAATTTGCCTGATACGTGCGAATCGTCTTGGACGAGGAAGTCGAGTAATATCGTGCGTTCATTGAAATAAAGGATGCGAGATTTACGGGGAAATTGCGCGCGCGCGCGCGAGAAAAGCCTTACGAGGCTCGATGGGTACGTGGAATAACGTTGGAGATTTTTCGCTGCAATTTTCCGCGAGGCCGCGGAATGCGAGACACGGTTTTCTCTCATGTGTGCAATGAGAAAAAGGAGGCAATGACGCGGAGTGAACGCGGGCGCAACGCTGGAACGCATTCGCGTGCATTGTCGTTGTACGATCGTGAAAAGCGATCGCGATAGGTAGGCAGCGCGAGAAATTCGAAAAATGCAGAGCGAAGCCATTTAAACGACGCTGGAGTGCCGACACATAAAGGTAGCACTAGTCCGCGTAAATCTTTTAGCGCGATTTTTATAGAATCTATAAGGACTACAGTGTGTATTGAGATCTTATAGATATTTCACATTTTCCTTTGCACTCTCTCGAAGAAGAGATTGTTACGTACAGATGCTATTGAAATGAAAAATATAATTTCAGAAACCTGACTCAGAAGGAATTGCATTATATTGAATTATTATATTAAAGATATTTAAAATTTGGTTTTTGGACGATTTATAATTTGAACTAGTTTTTAAATTTTATTTTAAACAATTTATAATTTGTATCGAAATTCACGTAAAATATTCTATTGCTGTATACAAGATACATAAACCAACAACAGGGAGAATTGGAATACGTACAATACACAGTTTATCTTATAATTTATATTACTCCGCGTGAGCAAATAAATTTGAGATTAAATTAAGCAGAAAATTTCTGTATTTTGCAATAAGAAGTGATCCGTTTATTTGGTATATATGAAATATAAATTAAAGTAAAAATATGTAATATAAGAAAATGAATGAAGATATATTAAATTTATAATTTTGAAATAGAATACAGCTCATATATAATAAAAATAAAAGTTTAAAATAAAATATTTATAATTTTGTATCTCACACACACACACACACACACACACACACACACACACACACACACACACACACACACACACACACATGTATATATATATGTATACTTTTTATATTTTATTTTTATATCTTATATTTTATTTATATGTATTCTTAATTTTTTAAATACCTTTTTCATATTACATTATATAAAATTATAAATAAGGTTTTCTCCTAAATCTTGATAAACAAATTATAGATCGTCTAAAATGCATTTAATTAATAAAAATGTATTGATTTAAGCATGAATTAAAAATGTATAAAATAATACAAATAATACAAAAATTAATACTCTAATTTATAAAACAAAAAAATAAATAATACATTAAGAATGAGAATATACAGGATGATCGCAGAAGTCCGAGCGAAACAAAAAATTCTATCGAATCAAACCGCGGGGATCAAGACTAGCTTCGGGGGTTTGTTCGCCCTGCGGTGTGTAGATGGCGACTCCTGGTCGGTATCTGGGATTCTCAGCCCCGCCCATGTGATTTAAACGACGACCTTTCCAATATCGATGCACACACACACACACACCCCACACCGAGTTCGACGGGTGGTCGCAAGATTCTCGAGGGTGAATGACTGAACGGTGGTGAACATTTGCATCTGTTTCGCGCTTTCGCGTCTGCGTTTTCACAAAAATTCATCTTTCGTCTCGATAACATCGTATGATTCGAATGTTTCAAGAAAGAGGGATGTCGTGAAATTAATAAATTGTAGAAGCTATGTGTATCGGCATGTCAAATTATTATGGAAATTGATGTTATGGGGGAGAGGGAAAATTTTCATATTAGATTAATGGGTTATACGAGTCAAGTCGAACGGATGTCTCTAATTCTATTTAGTAAATATTTTAGTAAAATAGT